AATGGTCTTTACCTACTACCTCGTGCTGTGTAGTGCAATGACTTTGAACACATTTTCATGAGGTAAAATTTTTATAGGATGTAACGAGAAATGGATAAGGAGAAGCGTATGCTTGAGAAGCAAGAAAATTGTTATTAAATTATGACATGCCTAAAAATAAAGAAGGCTATATTTAATGAAAGATTACAGTATCTGCTTTTTCTGGGCTAGTTATCATGACATTTTAAGACAAGGAAGTCAACTTTTTTCAGCATACCCATTTTCAAAACTGTGGATCGGACATTTAGAAAAATTGGAAAGATTGTACAAAAAGAAAAGGAAAAAACTTGGTATGAAATATTTATTATAGGAAATGCAAACAGATAAGATAATATTAGTAACATTATTATCTTTAGATAAAATACACTAAAGATGGATTTTTTTTGGAAAATAAATTAACAGATCTAGCTTTTGAAAGATCAGATTTTGCAATGTGGTAGGAACTAGAGAGAGAATTATATTATATGTACAAAAATTTATTAAAATGCGGAGGCTTTTTTACTTCTCACCTGACTTAGAAAACAGAGCAAACAGAGGTAAGAACCAATGGGAAGATAGATAGGAGAAAATATTGAATTGGATAAAAAGAGAATTAATGTGTTATGGCAAATGAACAGACGCAACAAAAGGGACAACAGTGAAAATAGAGAGAATGAAAGAGTTTGATTGATGATGGAGACTGAAACCAGAAACCCACATTATATATGCAAACAGAAGGGGAAAAGGAGGTCATCTTCCAAAAACCAGTGTCGGTGAAAAGCTACACACACAAATGGGTTAGCTATGGTGGTTTTGGGTTAGAGACAAAAAAGCTAGTTTGGCAGGTGGCACTTCTCCTTCCTTCTAGACTTCTGGTTTTTCTAAAATATACATATACTAAGGATTTTAACAAAATATAATTCATGTGTGAATCATAATAATTGAATATGTTTGTTATATTTAATTGTCTTTAATGTAACTTTTTATAGGGTACTATTTTATATATAAATGCAATTATCTTAATAATACTGTTGTTTTTTTGAAAAAAAAAAAATAATAGTGTTGTTGTTAAAAATAAATCCTAATTAAATATAACAACAAATATAATGAAAAATAATATTACACGCAATTAAAAATGCGTTATTACATTCACATTATGAGTTGATTTTTGTTTGAACCACGTTATATATATTAATATTTTTTTTATTTAGTAAAACCACTAATGGTTATCATTAGCAAAAAAAAACCCATGTTCTAGATTTGGTTATAGAGAGAACAGTGGGTAATCCAGTGGACCCATTTGTTTGATTAATATGCGTAATGAAGATTATTTTCTTTCTTTTTATTGTTTAATCTATCCACTGTGCTTGCTAAGGTACTGAGTTACTATTGTGGAGTATAAAATATTGTCAACAACTCAAACATGGATGCATGTGCATTTTTGTGCTTTCTCACATAATAAAATACGTCTTCAATCTACAATGTAAGAAGGACAAATTTATGCTGGTGTGCAAAATTTATGTGTACAAAAATGTGGTGGGCGGTGAAAGTTGAACTTTGTGGGCGGTGAAAGTTTTTCAAAGTTCAACTTGAGCCATCTTTCTGCTGTATCAGAATCATTATGGCCGCTGCGTAGGTCACATGATCAATCTATGTACCTAAATGTATATTATTATTATCGACGAGTGAGGAGACAACCTGTACAACTCCAGCGAGGCGAACCAACCGCAACTCGTGGTCGTTGGCGCGCCTGAGGCGTGTGCTGGGACGCCCTGTGCAGCCGCGCGACAAAATCGTGCGACGACGGTTGGGCGAGCGCGGGCAACGTAGGCACGCGATTTACTCGCACAGGCTCGTGCAGTCGCTGTGCGTGCAGCGACTGGCAGCATGCAATCAGTGGTTATCCTAGCGGTGGTGCAATGTTGGCTCTGGCCATGGGCGTGCCTCGCTCCACTGGATGTACGCGTCAGCACGTGCGAAGAATTTGGACAACGGGGCTGGCCCAGGATGACGTTTTCGCGTGGCGCATCTGGGCACGGAACGTCGACGACTGCAGCGTGCTCCTGAGACGACGACTGGCTTAAGCGAGAGTGATGACCCGACGTCGCGAAATTTCCACGTCGATGACTTTTCCGGCGAGAACGGCGATACGACAAGGATAGCGGCGGCGGCGGTAGCTTGTCCAGGAAGGAAAGTGGGAGTCACATGGGAAGAAAATTCTAAGTCCAAAAGAAATCTACAATTCTACAAGGACAAAGATTGTTGGTTTTCGAATATGATTGGAAAGTGTTAGTCG